TGTAGTTGCTTTCTTGTGCGGGGTGGTGCCCAATCTAATACTGCTTTGACCTTCTCTGGGTCCATTTCAATGTCCTGGGGGGATATGCGATAACCTAGGTAGTCTATCCTTTCCTGGTGGAATTCGCATTTTGAGAGTTTGGCATATAGGTGAGCGGCTCGCAGCTTCTTTAAAACCGCTCTGACAAGGTTGACATGTTCCTCTTTTGTTTCGGTGAAGATAAGAATGTCGTCCAAGTAAACAAGGACCCCCTTAAACAGGTGCTCCCTTAGAACGTCATTGATTAATTGCATAAAGACTGCAGGGCCCCCTTGTAATCCAAATGGCAAGACTTTGAATTGATAGCACCCCATGGGGCAGTTAAATGCAGTCTTCCATTCGTCCCCTTCCTTAATTCTCACGCGATAGTAAGCTTCCCTTAGGTCTAGTTTAGAAAAATTTTTACCTTTCGATAGGTGTGACAGCATGTCTTTCATGAGGGGCAGAGGGTATAGGTTGCTTTCACTGATTGTATTCAGGGCCCTATAATCCACGCATAAGCGTAAAGAGCCATCCTTCTTCTCTCTAAACAGGACCGGGGCAGCCACTTTAGGCTTGGCTGGCTCAATGAAACCTCTCTCTAGGTTTTTTTTTATGAATCTTTCCATTTCCTCCTTCTCCTTTGGGCTCATGGAGTATAATCTGGGCTTCGGGAGTTTTGCCCCAGGCTTGAATTCAATGGTACAGTCTGTGGGTCGGTGGGGGGGGGAGCTCATTCGCCCTCTCCTCACTGAAAACTTCAGCAAGGTCTCTATATTCCTCTGGTATTTCTGTTAATTCTTTTTCCTCTCCTATGGATGCTTTTTCTATTCTTGATTCTGGTAGCCTCCCTTGGGGTTTTAAATCCATAGGGTCCCCCTTCGGGAATTTGATTTCTGTCGTCCTCCAATTTACCCAGGGGTTCCATTTTTTCAACCATTCCATCCCTAGAATCATTGGGCATTCCATGCCTGGGGTCACCACAAACGTTATGTCCTCCTCATGTTTGCCCAGGGAGAGGTGTATTGGTAGAGTGGCTAGGGTAGCTGGCACCCCCCCCGCTATGGATCCATCTAACTGGCCAAATGAGATTGGTTGTTCCAGTCTCCTGGATGGGATGCCCAGATTCCCCACTAGTGTTGGGCTAATGAGGCAGCGGGTGCAGCCAGAGTCTATTAAGGCTTTCACCTTCACAGCTTCGGGCATGGGGGGAATTAATATAGTCACTGTCTTGAGGATGGGTGTGATGTGTTCACTTACCAGGGGTTCGCCCTATGAGCTGTCATCTGAGGCATCCACCGGCCCTGTGGTGTAGGCTGGAGTTCTTTCCCCTTGGCAAGCAGAAGTGGGGGGTTCTGCAATTTCCATCATTCTCATGGCAGTTTCTTTTGGCTTAGCTGAAGACTTTCTGGATTTGTTGATTGGGGATCTGTCTGGGTTGTGCTGGGGGGCTTTGGAGCAGCATTCTGCAGCTCGATGCCCTTCTCTTCCGCACTTGAAACACCCCATTTGCTTCTTGGCTGTAGCTGATGATTTAACTGGTTCGTGTGTCAGCTCAGGCGGTGGGCGGCTCCATTGTTTTCCTCGGTGGTGTCTTTTCACTATGTCGATCTCTGCTTCCTCTGCCAAGATGTACCATTCCTCAAGTTGGTGTGGGTCCCCTCGGGGCAGGCAAGCGTCATATAGATCATAATTTAGTCTGTCTTTGAAATGGCTAAGGAGGATTTCTTCTTACCAGTTCAGTTTATTGGCAATGGCCTGGAATTCTTGTGTATATTCAGCCACTGGGCGTTTGCCTTGCCTCGTCATTTTTATCCTTTCACGGGCTTTGCGATCAGCCAGGGGGTCTTCAAATCATCTTCTCAGAGAGGACATGAAATGGTTGAAGTTACTGAGTTCTGGGGCATTGGAGTCATGCAAGTTCACCACCCAATCTGCAGCCGCTCCATCCAGGGCAGACTGCACGATCCGGATGCGGGCTTTGTCTCTGGGGATGTCCTGCCCGTATTCCTCCATGTAGATGAGGACTTGGATTAGGAAAAACCCCAAGTGTGTTGGCTCCCCTTTGAATTTCACCTCCAACGGCGGACGTCTTGGAATGGATTGGTGCCTCCGTTGTTGGTGGTAGTGTCTTCCGTCCAGATTGCCATCTGTGGTCCGGTAGGGGGTGGGGACTACTGGATCAGCAGATGTCCCCGGGGCTGCAGGTTCCACTTCCCCCTCGGTGTCTCTCCCTTTGTGGCTCCAGGAACTGGGGCAGCCGTAGGGCTCAGGATTCCCCTCTCTTAGGGAGATGAGAGTTCTCTTCATCAGCTCAATAGCTTTCTCTAGGATCCAGTCTGAGTACGGTGCCCAGCTTTCCCCCTCTTCACTTGCGTGCAGGGATTTCTCCATCTCCTGCTTCCATTCTGGTTGCTTGGTCCCCCATCTCAGGGTCACCTTCCTTGATTCCTTTCCCCACTCACTTTTTTTTCCAACGCCCATTGACCAGCGAGGCTTGTGGTCTTGTGTCTCCACCACTTCTTCTCCTGAGGACTCTGACTTCTCGGATCCCAACATCTGGCAAGGTTCCAATTGGGTCAGCGGCTCTATTTCCAGGGAGTTTTCCCCCTCTCTTGCTTCATTGTCTGACATGGTAAATTTTTGCAAAATCCCCCAGCAAGGGTCTCCCTTCCAGGTGGATTAATTTTGCAAGTCCTGTCTAATGTAAGGACCCACCCCACTTTGCATGTTAAGAAGACAGAACTCTTGGAATAATTCTTCCAACAGGAATCCTTTATTAAGAGAAAATGGTTGCAGGCGTTCTAGACAGGACTTGGGGTCCAAGCTCTCCAATTCAAGGTTTTAAGGGGTTCCCCAGTAGCCCCACCCAATCAACCCCCTCTTTCAGCGACAGTCTCAGGCATTACACTTCCACCCCCTTTTCCTTACTGCCCGGCTGGATGGAGACTTCAAAGAAACTACATGAAAGGAAATGGCCCCATTCTTATGGTTAGTTCTTTTGCAATACACACATTCAGTTCCTTAGAAGTATACTGAAGGAAGTGAGGGCCATAAAGCCCCTTTGTTCTCCCCCTTCTCTCCCTCTTATGGCAGAATCCAGAGAAGGCAGAATTGGGGTTTTCTATATTTGATAACTAGAGATGAAATATAATTGGATTCTGACAATGTGTATGTGTATTTTGCTGCATTTTTCAATTTCAGTGTTAAATCTTTCCTTTATAAAGGAAAGTTCTGCATGATTCTTTGACAATGGCATAGAGATTAAATGGAACAAAAGAGGTATTTGTTAAATATTACATTAATTATTTGAGTTCTCTATGGAACTTTAGCACCACTAAATTTTGCTTTCCAAAGCTATACTCATTATATATATTCTCAGTGCTTAGAAAGTTTTTTAATTACAGTTTTGCATCTAGACTTGTGAATAAGAGTATAAACTTTTCTTCTTGTGTGAGAATGCTGCAGTTGTAATACCTCATTGTATATCTTGAAGGATAATGTTTATATTAATCATCGAATCATAACATTTTGCTTTGGCCTAGATCCTGCCTTCAGATTCTTTAGAACAGTGACCCCTAACCTTTTGGGCACCAGGGAGTGGTTCCGTGGAGAGAGGTTTTGCCACGGATTGGAAGGAGCATGATTTTGTGTACTGTCTGCATCCCGCAGATGGTGCTTTGTTTGTTTGAGCCCAGTTTCTGGCATGCCCTGGTCTGGTGCTGGTCCATGGACCAGGGATTGGGGACCCCTGCTTTAGAAGAAAGGAAGCCTCTCTGAAATAATGATACTGATAAGTGAAAAACAAAAACCTCTTCTGTCTTAAAATCATTAGTAGTTAAGTGAATAGCAAAGCAATTCTTTGTAGCTTTTCTTTCTCAGTCTATTATTTGGCATAACATGCTGTGAAATCTGAATGGAGATTATATTATCACTTAATTACCATTATTGTGCTAGGAAATGTGCTGTATACCTTGATTAATATTATTTATTTAATTAAAGATAATTAAATATTAGACAAGGGTAGTGATCAAACTTTAGCCATGGGAAATAACTTCAAAATAGCCAGTGGACAATATCCTCCTTGCTGATTTTTCTGTTTTTTTTTCTTACTGTTCTTGATAATTTTGAAATCATTCCACTATGTTTGACTTGACCCCCAAATCCACCGTGCCTAAGTTCAATAATGAAATTAATTTATTTTTTAAACTCATGTTTCCTTCAATAGGTTAGTTTATTTCTTCAATGTATACAACTGAATGTGAAATTAACAATAACAGAAACTCTGTTTGCTTCCATATATTATTTTGACCACTGCCATTTTTAGAAAACAAGAGGAATGATTAAATTTAGGAACTTAAAACACAGAAGTTAAACCAAGAAGGCTTTGTGCCAGGTTTCTTTTAATCCAAATTTCTTTAATTATCAAGCTAGTGATGATAGGAAATAATGTTAAGAATGAAGTCATTCTGAAGTCATACTATCCAATTTCAAAGCCATTTTGCAACTATATAGTAGCAATTTGATTTTATCGCTAAGTGATACACAAGAATAATCTTAACACAAATACCTTATCAGCAAAAATTCCTTTCTAACTACATGTCCCATATGTTTGCCAACTTTTTCTTTCATTTGCAGATATATTCAGAAGGTTAGTTATACACTGGAAAGTAATAAAATAAAATGGCTTTTGTGGCAACATATTATTATTCCCATTACTGTTTGCTATAGCTTCTGTCTATTTATTGTTGTTTAAAATAAAACATATGTGATATCAGAATTAGTATCTGAGCTATTGATTTATGCTCTTTCATCAGCAGGTAAGGCACATATTTTATAGTACACTGACATTGGGACTGGGTTTTGCAGCATGGCTGTTTTTTAATCTTAGTTTAAGAAGTTTGCAGGGACTATGAAAAGGTCTGATTTTTTTTGAAGTGAGTGAGAAAGTGCTAAGCTGCATTGCTTTCTCTTGCTTTCAGATAATATGTGGGAGACTATGGACTCCATGCTTCCGACATAGGAACAGGACCAGGTGGGGAAGCTTCACTTCAGAGAGAATGCTGGGAATTTGCAGAGGGCGACGGAAATTCCTGGCTGCCTCTCTGACTCTGCTTTTTGTTCCTGCTATAACCTGGATTTACCTGTTTGCTGGGAGCTTTGAAGGTAAGAAAGAAAACCTTGATGTTAGAGTCTAGAGATTGGTGTGTTGCAGAATTTTCATCACTGTCACTTCAGATCTAGCAGCCTTGAGACAGATTGGATGAAGTTGTTCCCTCTCCTGTTTTCCTCATCTCCTTTGGGACTAGGAAGAGGAGGCAAAGCTGTCTTTGTATAGCTGTGAAACTGTCAATATCTATATTCTTGATCATCATGTTGGTTCACTCCTGTGGGTGTACTTGTTATGAGAACTGAAGTATACATTGATTTATTAACAGCTTAGACTGATTTTTCTCAAAATGACAATTTGGAACAAGTATTTCAGTAATTAACTCTGAGACTTTGAAAGGAAAATATGATATCTGTACATTTCTGCCTTATTTACTTATGGATTTATGTGTGTACACAGCTGTCTCTATAAAGGCAGTTTCAGAACTGATGGCAATGTAGTTGAAAGCAATCTGCATCAGTTTTTGATATAAACATTGTGCATTAGATGTAGTCCTTTATGTCTTTATTTTTAGTAATTTTCAAGGGAACAGCTGTATTTTTATCATTATAATTTATTTAGTTTTAATGCTCAAAAAAGCTCAACCAAGGCTGTCATGCCATAAGAAATGTCCTTTCATTTTTGAATGAGTTGTTATTTCTTGTTAAGCCTTTAAAGTTTCTTAGTGATTTTTTTTTGTTTTATGAACTTCAGGAAAATGGCTTAGCTTAATGTGAGCATTTTTATTTTACAAGCCATAGCTTCCCCACAAATAGTCCATTCCCTTTCTCCTTTCCTTGGCCATTGAGTTTGTTAATATACCTTAATGAGTTGATAATTTTTTTTTTTAAATCTTTTTCCCCAGATTCTCCCAAAAACTTTTTCTCATAGATGAATTGACCATTTTAAAACTGAGAAACAACCTATGTAATCAGATCAAGGGTCAGTCTAAGCCATAATATTTGATTTATTCTTATATTGTTCCAGAAGATCTTTGAAAATTAATTTTAATCAATGTTACTTTGCCAAATAATTTTTAGCTTGTTATTTTTAGTACATAGTTTGTAGCATATTGGATTTTGCTGTTTTAATTAATTATAACATTGATTTTCTTTTGTGTTTTAACAAATTCTATAAGTTACTGAGAATTATTAAGTTTTGAGCAGTGGACAAATCTCATTGATAAATTAATACTTTCCTAATTGTAGTTTTAGAATTAGTTTCTATAAGAATAATTTTGAGCATTCCATAAGTAACTTCAAAATTTAAGACCTAAGGAATATCTTTAAGAAACCTAAATGAATTGGCTATACAATTATGTGGTAATTTGTAAATAGAGCGGAACTAAGCAGTTGTGATGAAAGAAAAAAAAAACATGTTTGATCACACAGATCAAAATATATTAAAAAAACCTATCATATATATACATACAACACATACATACATGTTTATGTTTTATTGACCTCTACATTGCTGTTGATAAATAGCTACCGGTACTTATTTCCACTACTAATAAGATAACTGAAGAGAAAAATGCTATATCCAAGCTTCTTTGTATAATCAGGACAGGAAGTGAAACTTATATAGTAAGACCTACAACTCACAGGTTAGTGAGAACTATTACTCAAAACAACAACAACAACCCAACATTGATTTACCATTACAAGAGAATAAATGGTTTCAGGATCCAATCTGAGTAGGTCACTGGGACAAGAGGTTTAGTCTTCCAAACTGGAGCCCATCCACAGAGTTCCAGTATGAGTCCAAAACTTTAGAAGACTAAACCTCAGGTACTGGTGATCCAGATTGGATCCTGCAATTATTCTGGGACATGTATATTTGCCTTCATTTGTGAGTATATTGTTTTTCTAAGCTCCATGTTTAGTAAATCCATAGTTCTTCATTTTGGTTAATACTCCAAGTTTATGTATATACATTAAAACTATTAACATTTTTAAATCTTATTCTTTCCAAAACATACTTTCAAATATGTGGCTATTAAATGAAAATGAATGTATGACCATAATGAAAAGATTGATCGGTATTAGTTGGTGTGGTCAGAGTTTAATAATCTGCTTGAAAACTCATACTTACTTATACGAATATAAATACTGCTTCATTTGCTATTATTGTGGTTTCTCTTTTTGATCTTTAAAGCCCTACATGGAATATAACAATAGAGGGGCAAGCATATGTGCATGTATAAATATGTATTTTTATATTTTACACACACACATATCTGTAATCATTTTACACTTCCAGCATAACATCCAATATGTTATCCAAGCCTTCTTAAGTGTGTCAGTATAATCCACAGCTCTTTTAATTACTGAGAGGCGGGTAATATTATGTTGGGTTCTAAGATTGTTTCCGTATTAGAAATCCTAGCTTTCATAAAAGGGTAGAATGTGCTTGGGCTAAAAATGATTTATTCTACCATATTGGACAGAATCTGCCAGATCTAACTACTATATCTTTACCATTAGTATTAGTATGGAATTCTGATGTGACTTAGACTAGTAATCTAATGTAATGTACATCTGCTGTATCTTATCAAAGATGCCATGTAGGGCATTATGGGAAAGCCTCAATTGATTGTGTGTAGTTGAGATTAGCATGGTAATGACTTTGGCATATGGAAAATTGAAATTGAGAAATCTAAAAGAAGTAAATAATTAAAATCATGAATTGATTCCATTCTGTGAAACTAAAAAACAGGGATGGCATAATAGAACTGAATAAAAGTTGTCTGATCCTCTGTTAAGAAGTTGGTGAATCCATGCAAGAAATGAATTGTCTGGTTGTTAGAGATAAAAAGGTTGATTTGTCTTATATCTATCTTGCAAAAATTAATTTCGTGTTGAGATTTATTGCAGAAAGAATAAAAAATAAAAAAGCAATAGCCTAGTGCTTTTAGAGACTTACAGTTGGACTACTGAATTTACTTTCTGGTTTACTGTTAGGACAGAATGTAAAATGATGTCATTTCAGGACCATCCAGGATCTTGGAAGTTGTATTTCCAAGAAAGATTACTCATGGTCAGAGACATAAAAAAGAATATTCAAGTCAGAACAGAAGTCATATTCCTGGCAGTGAAGAAATGTACATAAAATGTGTACATCAGCAATCATGCTTAGAGGCACAAAGGTGACCAATCACATAGAATTGCAAGTAACAGACTTCTACATAAATAAGCTGCTGTCATGCAGACATACTAGAAGTTATAACCAACCTGTTCTTACAGAACTGGTCCTATTTATGAGACTTGTGATTACATATTTTGAACCAGGAACCATTCTGAAATTTAGCCATATACAAGAATGATAATAAATTAATGAAGTGTGATGTGCCACAAGTCTGCCCGGGTATATTGAATCAAAAACCTTAATTCAGTTACTGGCCACAAGGTCATCCAGGCATGCTGGATATTCTTACCTGAACCATAATTCCCAAGGCACCTTCCTTTGCAAAGAAGCAGTTTTATAATTCCTTGCCTTAATCAGACTGGTCATAATAATGTTTAGATAGGCTGTGAAATTAGTCTTGAATAGAGAATCTTAGGCTAGAGTGATTGATTCTGGCATCAGTCCCATGCTTGGGCTTGACTGAAGTGGAGAGAACTAGGTGGATGGGATCATCTGACTGCTCTTTTTCCTCTGAGGACTCTAATGTGGCCAAGTTTCATGAAGCTTGAAAAGCATATTGTAGAGCCAGAAAAAGTACAAAACCCAGTAACCAAAATTATCAGTTCTTCTATTTTTTAAAAAAGGTGCCACTTAGGAAAGAAAGCAATCAGCAAAGCTCATGCATAGTTTAGATAAAAATAATAAATAGAAGAGGGATTTTTCTGTCTTAATATAGAATCCAGGTACATCCAATGAAATTGAATTATGGGAGATGATAAAAAGAATCTCTGTTCTAAGTAATGTGTGCTGAAAACTATGAATTTCTACATCATAAAATATCTTGCAGTCACCACCTGCGGAATTTCAAAGGATGCTTAAACAGATGCAAGGAGGATAAGAATTTTAATAGCTAACAGTCATAATGGCTATATATTAACTCCAGGATGAAAGGCCGGGTGCACTGTAACAAAATTGCAAACTTTTACTGAATGGAGAGACAACTGCTAACACACATGGACAAATCCAATCTGGGTTTATCAGATTAAATGATAAAGTCTTGATTTAACTAGGGCAATCATTTTCAACATATTAGTTGGGACTGCAGAAAGTTAAAAGAAGATAACTGGGCTGTGAACAACTCTTAACTAAAAACTTTCCCTAGTACTTTTTCTGGTTAAATTAATATGAAAATTGAATATAGTCAGCCTTCTATCCTCAAATTACTACTTTAATAAATTGCTAGTATTTCACCATTTTCCTATGCTGTACTTCAAAGGCTGGATTGTAAGGTACCTTCTCAAAAGAATTATTATAGATCAAAAGTATTTCATATTATCTGGAGTACACATTTCTATCTCTATGTACATAATTTCTGATTTCCAGCAGCTTTAGCATATATTCTTTTCCTAATATGCAAAGAAGTGAGTAAATCTACAAACATATTTGATTTTACTTCTCATAAAAAGTCATTTTGTGAATTTTTTTTTCAAATTGTTATATTTCCAGCTCCTGGCATATAATATCTAAAGTGCAATAATATTATCAATTAATATTTTACAAAGATCTTGCCGGAGATATTTTGAAGTTGTTTTAGATTCAAGTTTCAGATAACATATCCACTCAGAAATCTTTCTGCAAGTCCAACACATTATACAAGGCATTACTTTTTTATATAGGTCACTCATATGAAGTCATAGTTGCAGTCTATCAGTTGGGTGCTATTTTATATGTTAAGCTTGAAAAGTTTATCCCTATTTGGGGCAACAAAGAACATCAGGCTGACTCAATGTTAATTGTAGAACTTATGTCTAACTCACTTATAAGACATGATTTTTTTTATGGTTGCATGTTAGGTTAATAATTACAGGAAAACATTTTCTTAACACTTAGA